ATATTAATAATATTTTTAGCAAGTAAGGGTCAGTATTTAGAGGAGGGAGTAAGGGGATGGTAAAATATTATGTAATCTGTTATGAATTTGTTGTGAAGAAGTCACAGGGGGGATGGGTGGTGAGGGGGGGTTAGGGAGGAGGGGGGAAGAAAAAAGGGGGGGAAATTTGTATTTGAAAACTTTTTCAATAATAAAAAAAAGCACTGCTTTCTCTTTGCTGCCTCTTACTTCTTTGCCATCTTCTCTCTTTAGTGGACCGACTGTTTCCTTGCGTTTTTTCTTGTTATTTATATGTTGGAAGAAACTTTTTAAAAATTATCTTTGACTTTTGTTGCAAGTCTTTGTTCATTCTGAGCCTTTGCTTTCCTGACTTCGTCTTTGCAAATTCTGGCTATTTGCTGATATTCTGCCTTAGCTATGTGTGCTCCTTTGCATTTTTTTGTATTTGTCCTTTTTGTCTTTCAATTTGTCAGAGATATCTTTGTGCAGCCATACTGATTTCTTCTTGGATTTCTTGTTTTTCTTTTTCACTGCTATTGTGTTGGACTGGGCTTTTATGATCATATTTTTCAGAATTTCTCAAGCTTCTTAAATTGTTTTCCCCTTTAGGATTTTCATCCAAGGAATCTTTCCCAAGTTTTCTCTAAGTTTTCCCAAGTTCTCTCTAAGATATTTGGCAAGAACTAGTTTTCCCAAGTTCTCTCTAAGATATTTGATAAGAATTGTTTTTTTTTAAAAAAAACATGAATGTTATCAGGAATAATTTATCTCTATCTGCTGATGCCCACAGGAATTCTTCTTTCCAATGGCCTCACCTGGAAACAGCAGCGACACATTGACATCACTTCTCTGTGGAAGCTGGGCCTGGGGAATAAAAGCATTGAGCATCAAATAAAAGACAGAGCTCAGATGTTGATGGAGATATTTAGACAAACCAAAGATCTGTAATTTGGGATGATGACAATGACTTAAATTCTTTGAGCCTGAAAAAAACCCTCCATTTTTGAGTATTTCTAATAAATTACACAGTCCAATAAACAAAGTTTATCTACGAGACCGCCTTCTGCTACCAATAGCCTCTCACTGACCAGTACGCTCCCATAGAGAGGGGCTCCTCAGGGTGCCGTCGGCCAAACAGTGTCGACTGGCGGCCCCCAGGGGGAGGGCCTTCTCTGTGGGGGCACCTACCATCTGGAACGAGCTCCCCCCAGAGATACGGAAGATCCCGGACCTGCGCACGTTTTGCCGTGCTCTCAAAACTTTTCTATTTCAGCAAGCTGGCCTGGCCTAACTCCCATCTTTTAAATTTTTTAAATTTTTCAGTTTGTGATTTTATAAATTGGGTGTTTTAATCTGTGTTTCGGCCGAAATATTTAATAATTTTAAGGGATTTTTTTTTAATATTTGTATTATCTGTATTTTATCTTGGCTGTTCACCGCCCTGAGTCCTTCGGGAGTAGGGCGGTATAGAAATTTGATAAATAAATAAATAAATAAATAAATAAATAAATAAATAAATAAATAAAAGTCTTCATACCAGTCGTAATAATCATACACAGTAAACAGTTCTTTAGAGTTCCAAACAGTAAGACAGTAAGTCAGATAGAGATATCAGAGAGTAAGAAAGAGAACAAGCCATGTTTCTAGTTCCCTCTTAAGAACATTGGCAATAGAGCTAACCAATCAGTACACAGTATGAGGCAATACAGCAGTCTTAAAGCTAAACAATACAATGCAATATAATGCAAACATACATTAATGGTTTTTATATTGCCAATCCAACAAGTTAGATAATAGTCATATTCCTAACACCCATTGTTTCTGTTCTATGTGACACTCCCTCAAATACACAAAGACATGTCCTCTGCTTGTCTTCTTTTCTTGCTTCCAGTTGTTGATAGGAATATTCCAGTATTCCATGATAGCAGTATTCTGGTATTTGAGCGGCTGCCACAAAAAGGAGCAGTCAATTTATTTTCCATCACACCAGAGGACAAGACAAGAAACAATGCATGGAAACTCATCAAGGAGAGAAGCAACCTGGAATTAAGGAAAAACTTTCTAACAGTAAGGGCAATTAACCGGTGGAACAGCTTGTCTTCTGAAGTTTATTTATTTATTTATTAATTTATTATATTTCTATACCGCCTTTCTCCAGTATGATTCAAGGCGGTGTACAGTCAAGAAAAATATAGACACACAAACATCATAAAATTGCTAATTAAAATTGTTACTTAGTTTGGTCAATTAAATAAAACACAGAATTAGATAACATTTAAAAAATCATTCGCATGTTTGTATGTTTAGCCCTGCCTGTTGGAACATCAGGGTCTTGAGGGCACGGCGGAAACCACGGAGATCAGGGATATTCCGTATCTCCGGGGGCAGTTCATTCCAAAGGGTTGGAGCCCCCACAGAGAAGGCCCTCCCCCTGGGAGTCGCCAGGCGACATAATTTGACTGACGGTACCCTGAGTAGTCCCTCCCTGTGAGAACGAACTGGTCGGTGGGAGGCTATTGGTGGCAAAAGACGGTCTCGTAGGTACCCAGGTCCTAAGCCATGGAGCGCTTTAAAGGTGATAACTAACACCTTGAATCGCACCCGGAAGACCACCGGGAGCCAGTGCAGCTCGCGTAGGAGAGGTGTTACATGGGCGTAACGAGCTGTGCCCATAATCACCCGCGCGGCTACGTTCTGGACCAGTTGGAGCCTCCGGGTGCTTTTCAAGGGGAGCCCCATGTAGAGAGCATTACAGTAGTCCATACGGGAGGTAACTAGGGCATGAGTGACTGTGCGCAAGGCGTCCCGATCCAGAAAGGGACGCAACTGGCGGATCAGGCGAACCTGATAAAAGGCACCCCTGGCCACGGCCGTCAAATGATCTTCTAAAGATAACCGTGAATCCAAGTTGTGGGTGCTTCATCACTGGAGGTTTTTAAGAAGAGCCTGGACAGTCACTTGTCTGAAATGGTATAGGGTCTCCTACTTGAGCAGGATACTGGAAGACCTCCAAGGTCCCTTGGAGGGACCTATTCTGATTCTGTTCCCTTTAAGTGTTTCCTTCCAAGATGCTTATCATCTCAACTGCTCTCCCCAGATACACTTTGATTTGTAAATGTTGTTCCAAAAGCACAGTGTAGAGAATTTGATGTAATATTCTAATGGGATCTGAATAATGAGGAAGAAAAAGGAAGAACTGGCTGAATCCCACCACTGGTCCTGCGTGATTCTATTTGACTTGGGACTACTATCGACCCAGAAAGCTTCCCTCCAAAGTATTTTCATGAGTCATGTATCCCATGGAATGTGGTCATTTTCTTTTTTACAACTTACCCAATAGCTTGTATGGAGATTGTATTGCTCCTGTGGCCAATCTTAATTCAGTTTGTCCTGAAGGTGCTTTTTTCAAGAGGCAACTGGACTCCAGAAAGTCTAGTTGCTTCTTGAAAAAGCACCTTTGGGACAACCATGACCTGGATCACTGAGAACCTCCTTAGACACTTAATTCAGGTTGCAATCCATCAGATAAAGAGCAACATTTCAGGGCAGATCCAAGTCTCTAGACCGTCCTGTGAATATAGCAATCAATTGGACAGTTGAAGAGTTGATGATTTAAGATAAAGAAGCTGAGAAACCCTATACAAACTATCCAAACGGTACTACTCAAAACTTGGTACATTCGGGTCTTTTCCCGTGCAAGATTGAGAGTATATTGGTGACGTTTCAACGAGGTCCCACTATTCAGGCTAGTGTCTTCGGCTTCATGCATTTATTGCAGAACACGCATTGCAGAACACAAGAACGCAATCAGAAAAGAAGAAAAAACTTCTCTCTTTTCCAGCACCTTTTTTTTTTTTTAATTTGATTTATATGCCGCCCTTCTCCGGAGACTCAGGGCGGCTTACAATGTGCTCAGCAATAGCCTTCATCCTTTTGTATATTTATACAAAGTCAGCTTATTGCCCCCACAAACTGGGTCCTCATTTTACCCACCTTAGAAAGGACGGAAGGCTGAGTCAACCTTGAGCCTTGGCGAGATTCGAACCTGCAGTAATTGCAGGCAGTTGGTCTTAATAACCAGCTTAATAACAGGGTGCCTTAGACCACTGTACTACCAAGGCTCTTACCTTACCTTAAAACAATAGGACACGAAACTGACTTTGAAGAAACCAAATTAATCTCCAAAACTGAACACTTCAACAAAAGAATAATCATGGAAGCCATCGAAATAGAGAAACACCCCCATAACATGAATAAATGCGATGATACCTCCTGCCTACTGGACATCTGGAAACTAGCCCTCGTCAACAGAAGAGTCCCAGCCACGAAGATTAACACCGGACCCAAGATAACACATGACACCACCACCAATCAACCTCACCAGATTCAAACCCAAACCCATCCCATAGACGAAATACAATCACCATCCAGAAGCCAGACCACGGCGGCATCACCAGCTGCTGCACGCCCCCACACAAAGCAAATTGACACACGCCGTGAACACATGCCAAGACCTCAAACTCGGAGCCAAACTAAAGCCCGGGATGTGGCATCACAGCCATCTGCTCAGGACATTACATCAAAAAACTCAGGATACCACAACACTACTAGAACTCAGGATGTTAACACACAGCCCATTACACAGGTCGTTAAAACACAAAAGACTAAGGGGCACACATCAAGGACCTCACCCACACAGGATGTTACGAAACAGCTGACTAATCTGCAAACATCAACTCCATCTACCAATCAAGATGTAACAACACAGGCAACCAACCCGCTCACAGCAACAAAGCCAGCACCCCACACCTCCCCACCAGTATTTATAGAGAGACGGCAGCTCCGATCACGCTTTCCTCACACAGGCACGAAGCCGAAGGCACCAGCCTGAAGATGATGAGTGGGACCTCGTCGAAACGTTGCCAAGATACTCTCAATCTTACATGGGAAAAGACCCGAATACGCCAAGACTTATACAATATACATATACTAAGACTTAATGACAAGTAATATATTTTATTAGCACCCAAAGGGAAAAAAAAGAAAAAAAACTTAACCATACAGCACCTTTTTCATACACAACCTCCTGGTCTTTAAAGCAGCAATATATTGAACAAGTGTCAGTGTGAGTAAATAGAAGCAAAACCCAATATTAAATGAATAGGTATATATAGGAAACAGTTACCATACTGAAGAGCTACTCTGGATTTAGTTTTATGCTTTTTATGGTGTTTACATTTAAGCCTGTGTTGGAATAGCACACAGTTTGTAAGGGTGCGGATACATTGACATCTTTGCAATAGGCTCTTCATTGAGTTCTTTCACTCCTTCAGGCAACCGGAAGCTGAAGGCCCTCAACAGGTTGGTCAGAAAGACGAAGATCTCAATTCTTCCAAGCTGCTCTCCCACACAGGAACGCTGACCTGTAGATGAGACAAGACATATATAAAGAGGATAATGAGTTGCTCTCCAGGGTATAACCACATCATCAAGGAAATCTGAACAGATTTGTAACAGCCGAAGATTTTCACGTTGACCTAGTATCTTTGAGCATAACTTTAACTCATAGACCCTTTACAATTTGCCTACTGAGCAAATAGATTGGCTGTTAGTATGGTTCTGCACTATATCCTACAACATCTTGAATCTCCAAGGACCTATGCAAGTGTCCTTCTTTGTAGACTTCAGCTCGGCATTCAATACTATCATTCCAGATAATGTTCTAACTAAACTGATTCAGCTAGCTGTGCCTGACCACACTTGTAAGTGGATCATAAGCTTTCTAACAGACAGGAAGCAGCTAGGCAGAATCACATTAGATACCCGTACAATTAACACAGATGTCCTCTAGGGCTGTGTGCTCTCTCCATTACTCTTTTCTCTCTATACCAACTACTGCATCTCAAAGAATCCCTCTGTTAAAGTATTGAAGTTTGCAGATGAAACAGTGGTGATTGGTCTCATTTGAGACATCAACGAATCTACATACAGACGGGAAGTTGAACAACTAGCTTTGGGGTGCAGCTGGAACAATCTTGAAGTGAACACACTCAAAACTGTAGAAATGATAGATTTTAGGAGAAGCCCTCCTATTCTGCCACCTCTTACAATCCTAGGCAACCCAGTAGCAACAGTAGAGACCTTCAAGTTTCTAGCTCAAGACTTAAAATGGACACCTAACATTAAGAATGTCAACAAAAAAAAAGCACAACAAAGGATGTTCTTTCTATGCCAACTCAGAAAGCTCAGACTGCTGATCCAGTTCTACAAAGGAGCTATTGAGTCTGACATTTGCACCTCTGTAACTGTCTGGTTTGGCACAGCAATCAAACAGGACAGACACAGACTTCAACAGATAATTAGAACTGCAGAAAAAACAATTGCTACCAACCTGCCTTTCATTGAGATCCTATATACTATTTGAGCCAGAAAGATGGCTGAGAAAATATCTGCAGGTCCCTCACATCCTGCACATAAACTGTTTCAACTTCTTTCTTCAAGACGACACTATAGGGCATTGCACACCAAAACAACCAAACACAAAGACAGTTTCCCCCCCACCCCACATGCTATCACTCTGCGAAACAACTAATTCCCACAACCCTGTTAATCAACCTAGTAGGACTGTATTACTATTATTCTGCTCATTTTTCCTATTACATATTTCTTTATCTTCTTATTATAACTTTGTTGCTTGTATCTTACGATTTATATTGTTTTATTTAGTATCCTAATATGATTTATTTAGTATCCTAAATAAATCATACTAGTTTTATTTAGTATCCTAGTATGATTTATTTAGTATCCTAGTATGATTTATTTAGTATCCTAGTATGATTTAGTATGATTTAAAAGGAATTTTAAATTTAGTATGATTTAAAATATGGAAAGGAAATGACACATTTAATGATCAACATAATTACAGCCGCCAGATTGGCATACGCACAGTACTGGAAAGAGAAAATTCAACCACCAGAAGAGCTCACAATTAGGAAAATATTGGAGTGCGCAGAGATGACTAAATTAACACATGAATTAAATGATGATGAGAAATCAGTTTATTATATTGTGTGGGAAAGGTGGTACAAGTGGATGCATGATAAAATGAATGAAAGACCTAAATAATGGTTAAAAGTGATTTGAAATATCACCAAGTATTATGTATGTAAATAGTTAAAACACTGCACATCCGATACTAACTGAAAATGTTATTACACTTATGTCTTTTATGTTTTTGTTTGTATGTTTGTCTTTTTTTTTCTGTTTGTAAAAAATTTCAATAAAGTTTCTATAAAAATAAATAAATAAAAGGGACGTGGTGGCTCAGTGGCTAAAATATTGAACTTGTCGATCAAAAGGTCGGCAGTTCAGCGGTTTGAATCCCTAGTGCCATGTAACGAGGTGAGCTCCCGTTACTTGTCCCAACTTCTGCCAACCTAGCAGTTCGAAAGCCCATAAAAAATGCAAGTAGAAAAATAGGGACCACCTTTGGTGGGAAGGGAACAGAGTTCTGTGCACTTTTAGCATTTAGTCATGTTGGCCACATGACCACGGAGACGTCTTCAGACAGCGCTGGCTCTTCAGCTTTGAAACGGAGATGAGCACTACCCCCTAGAGTCAGGAATGACTAGCACATATGTGCGATGGGAAACTTTACCTTTACCTTATGATCTATGTTGATTGCTTATTAAGTATCCTATGACTATCACTAAGTGTTTTATCTTATGATTCTGATGAATATATCTTACGATGATTATGATAATGATTTATCGCTTGTTGCTTGTATCACTTGGTGCATACACTGATTAGAATGTAATTATCACTAGTATTTCTTTGCCGTTGAAACTCTGTAGCCTAAGGAGAATATCAGACTCTCACAGTTTTGAAACTAGAAGGAATTCAGATTTCTTGATTTTCTGTTCAAACCATGATGATTTCAGAATAACTCAATAGTGGTGTTGGTGGGAAACTATTAATTATAAGTTGCTTTGGGCTCATGGCTGTACCTATTCCAAATGGCAGAAACTCTTCTCGATCAAGGAACTTCCCATCCTTGTCTAAAAAGTGATTTGGGTTGAATTCTTCAGGTGTCTCCCATTGTTCAGGATCAAGGAGAACGGAGCGTAGGTCTGCGATAACAATGCTCCCCTATAAAAAAAAAATAGGATGAAATAGAACAGTTCCATAATGAAATGGGCAAAAAGGTTCAGACCAGTGGTGGGTTGCTACTGGTTCGGCCCAGTTCTACCGAATCGGTAGTAACTTTAGGAACTAGTTCTCCGAACCAGTAGTAACGGCAGCCAGGCCACGCCCTCGAATTGGTCCCCCGGTCTCTGCTCACTTGCCCACCCAACATATCCATCAGATGGTAAGCTGGCTGAAGCAAAGAAGTATTTCAGCTTCCTGGCCGCAGGGCGCCGAAAAGTCCTTCAGCCGGTTAGAAGAAAGCTGTGCGTGTGCAAAGATGATGGCAGCGACCGGAGGTCTTTCCGGCACTGTGCGCCAGTAGCTGGGTGGAAAAGAAGCCTCTCAGCTTCCAAGTTCACTAGCAGGCTCAGTCCCTTCATAGGGTCACTTTTCTCTGCGCCCGAGAAAGATCAAAAGGCACAGAGAAGCCTTTAATGATGAGGTAAAAGAAAACGAACCACTGAGGGAAGGAGCCCCCCAAAGCTGCCACCATTGCAGCCCCCCCCAACAGCTTGGAGCTCCAAGTGGAAGAAGTCCTCAGCTGTTGCGAAGAAGAGGCAGCTCTGGGTGTGCCACGCCCGCTTCTTTCTCTTTGAGAGCAGCTTTGCAAACAAGGTGCAAAGTGGCTCTCAAAGAGAACGAAGCGGGCGTGGCATACCCAGAGCTGCCGTTTCTTCGCAACAGCCGAGGACAGAAGAGTTCACTCAGGAGTGATGCCAGCAAGAAAGGTGGCCAGGTCAGAGGGAGGCATAGCCCGAGTTCTCTAGGACAGGTAAACAAGTGTGGGGAGGTAAAGGGGAGCGGACTCGGCCCCCCACATGTTGCACCCCCTCCCAGCCTTTGCCCATGCCTCCATGCCACCAGCATCTCCTGAAGCCACTGCCGTTGGAGCTGCGACAGGGACTGGGGCAGCCCGGTAGCAGCCATGAGCCGTGCTTTCGTCTAAGCGGTGTGGGTGGCAGAGGGAAACAGACTTGGAGGAAAGTGCAGCTCATGGCTGCTAAATTTCGCTGTGCTGCGCCAAACGCTTTCCCATAAAGAGCAACGAAGGAGAGAAATAGCCGCTGACCTGGAGAACATGTGGAGTGGAGCAGCTCTGTGTGTTCTCCACTGGCTGTTTCTTCCCCTTCGCTAGCGCAGCACAGAGAAATGTAGCAGCCATGACCTGCGCTTTCCTCCAAGGCTCATCCGGAAAGCTCTGCGCAGAGGGAAGCATTTGTTTCCCTCTGCCGCCCACAGCGCTTAGAGGAAAACATGGCTCATGGCTGCTAAACCACCTCTGGTTTCTTGTCCTTCGCTCGTGCAGTACAGTGAAATATAGCAGCCATGAGCTGCACCTCTAAATGAAATCCGGAAAGATCTGGCTGGAGAGGGGTGCCTCTGTCCACCGACTCAGGGCAGCAGGCTCAGCTGCAGCCAAAATGAGCCAAGGAACTGCGGGGAGCCTCCCGTGTGTTGCACCCAGCCTTCGCCCGCGCCTCCGTGCCACCAGCATCACCTGAAGCTGCCGCCGTTGGAGCCACAACAGGGACAGGGGCAGCCCGGTAAGCTGGGTGCCTGAAAATGGCATGGAGGTGTGGGGTGAAGGCTGGGAGGGGGGGTCCAATACGCGGGAGGCTCCCCGCAGTTCCTCGGCTTGTCTGAGCTGCAGCTGAGTCCACTGCCCTGAGCCGGTGGAGTGGGTTGCTCTGGCTGCAAGCACAGGGAAGGCCCGTCAGAGTTGAGAAGGGGCACTTTTCAGCCAGGAAGGGAATGGAGGGAAAGCCAAGACGACCACCGCCACCCCACAGCATCCCGACCTGGATATGGGGCCAGAGTGTCAAAAAAAAAAAAGTGTCCAAAACTCCCAAAAATTTTAGCCACCTTTTCAGTGGGCATGGCTTGGGGGGGATCATGTGACTGAGTGTGTAAGTGACATCATGTTGACCACGCCCAATCAGTCACGTCCCCTACCAAGCCACACCCACAGAACCGGTAGTAAAAAATTTTAGAACCCACCACTGGTTCAGACAATATTGATGAAAACTGATGTGGCTCCGTCCTCTGAGCCTATCTTATTGGAGGAAGAAGGCTCCGAACATGAAGGAGAGGAGACGGCCAGGCCTCCTTCTCCAGGACCCTCCTCTTTGGCAATGCCTCAGGTGTCTCCCAAAGGAGAAGAGATTGGCCAGGAGCCAGGTGTTTCTGAGCCATCCGATAGTGACGAAGAAACATTCTGGTTGGACCCACGCCAGCGTCGGAGAGACAAGCGTGAGCAGCAGAAAAGGAGGCGTGCCAGAGATTAAGCTGAGTCACTGGACCACACCCCACAGGCTATAAAAGGGAGTGTGGTGGCCATTCAGACTCTGTGACGGACAAAGCTAATCTCTGGCGAGGCACTTGCACCTTCAGACACAACACCTATTTGCCGTGGATTTAATTACAAACTGGACTATTCAAACTGTGTGTATTTTTGTCCGTGTTATCGGAGTAAAAGCTCTTGGCAGGCAGCCATGGAGTTGCTGCCAAGTTCCTTATCACTGACATTGTGTGTTTGAAGAGTTTATTTAACCCTCGGCTGGCTGGTTGGGTGTGTGCATGGTACGGGGACAGAACAAAAACATTTGATTTTAGCTTGCCTTTATGGACCCCTATTTGTTCATTTCCAAAGCAGATTCTGAGAGCAATGGCTGCTCCATATTTAGCTTCCTTTCACCCTTCCCTTCCATTAAAACAGAGGGCTGTCTTTTTCACACCAAATTGCCCCAAGAAATAGACAAAGAAACATGGCCTCACATGACTACAGTTTTGAACTTAATATTATCATCTTCCTGGAATAAATAGAAAATGTTTATAGTTCTAGCTTTAAAATCTGAGAGCTGTTTGGATTTAAACACATCATCCATCTCCCACAACAGTTTGCTATTCTTCCCAATTCAATTTTGCATGACTACTTTTGCAATTCCTGAACAGAGAGCTTCTGTCCAAGTGCCATATTCTGCTTTTCCCTCATGGCTGGACTACTACAATACAGCCTGAACACGTTTCTCACCTTTGGAATGTGATATCCCCTCATCTTCACATCCCTTGCACTTTGCCTGGGAACCCCGATTAGCAAGGCATATTTTACACGTTGCATTTCATGAATCACAGCATTGGTGTAAGGCAGCTTCTTCTGATCCTGATAGGAAATTGACCCTGAGAAGCCAAACACATCTTCAATCTCCTTCTTGACTTTCTCTAGAAAAGAATGATGGAAAAAGAATTTTCAATATTTATTCATTTATTTATTTCTGAATTTTAATCCTTAGGATATAGGACAGCCCAGTGGTGAAATCTCTGGGGAAAAAAATGATGGAAATAGAAGTTACATTTTCAATATTGTGTTTCATTTATTTATTTCCAAATTTTAATCCTCAATAGAACTTGGGTACATAGAATAGCATTTAGGGCATTAAATTATAATCATAATCATAAGTTTATTTGTCAAGCATATATAAGATAACAGGTAAAAGTATAAACGTAATTTGAATACATGAAAAGAGTAAGTAAAAAAGGAAAATTAGGACAAGGACGGTAAGGCACGTTGGTGCACTTATGCAGGCCCCTGACAGACCTCTTAGGAATGGGGTGAGGTCAACAGTAGACAGTTTAAGGTTAAAGTTATGGGGGTTTGGGGAAGAAACTACAGAGTCAGGTAGTGCATTCCAGGCGTTGACCACTCTGTTACTGAAGTCATATTTTCTGCAACTGAGTTTGGAGCAGTTTACCTTGAGTTTGTATCTATTATTTGTTCGTGTATTGTTGTGGTTGAAGCTGAAGTAGTCATTGACAGGAAGAACATTGTGGCAGATAATTTTATGTACTATGTTTAGATCAGACTGAAGTCGGCATAGTTCTAAATTGTCTAAGCCCAAAATTTGGAGTCTGGTGGCATAAGGTATTTTATTGCAGTTAGAGGAATGGAGGACTCTTCTCGTAAAATATCCTGGATTCTCTCGGTTGTATTTCTGTCCAATATGCAGTGCGGGTTCCAGACAGATGAGTTGTATTCAAGAATTTGTCTAGCAAATGTTTTGTATGCTCTAGTTAGTAGTACAACATTACCAGAGAAGAAGCTACGCAACATTAGGTTAACAACTCTTAATGCCTTTTTGGCAATGTTGCTACAGTGGGCTCACGCACTTAGATCTTTAGAAATGAGTACTCCAAGGTCCTTGACAGAGTTTATGTAAAGTATGAAGAGTGTTGGACCTAAAACACTGCCTTGGGGAACACCGCTATTAACATGTACAGGATTTGATAGAGCGCTTCCTATTTTGACCACTTGTCTGTTTGACAGGAAGGCAGCTATCCATTTATGTAGGAGTCCAGAAATGCCATAGGATTTTAGTTTTAGAAGTAATTTGTCATGTACCGCTGAATCAAAGGCTTTACAGAAGTCTATGTAAACTGCGTCTATTGCTTTGCCCTGATAGAGATGTGTAGTCCATATGTTTTTGCAATGTAGTAGTTGTAGATTAAAGGATATTTTTTTTCTGAAACCAAATTGTTTGTTAGAAAATAGCTTGTTTGTCTCTAGGTGTAGGGTAATAGATTTGTTAAGGATTGATTCCATGACTTTGCAGGTGATGCAACATAAAGAGATTGGTCTGTAATTTTCAACTAGGCTAGGGTCTCCCTTTCTGAAGATAGGGATGACCTTGGCTTGTGACCATTGGTAGGGCAAGGTGCTGGTACTGAATGGTTTTTCAAAAATTATGCTTAGAGGTTCTGCAATTGCAGTGGAAAGCTTTTTTAAGAAGTATGCACATAGTCCATCAGGTCCAATAGCTAGATATGGTTTTAGATTGCGTAGTGCCTTTTCAACATTGTCTTCTGTAAAATCAATATGTATAAGATCACCGTAATCGTTGTAATTGTCTGTAGAATGACTGGGAGATATTAGGTATGTGTTGTTGCTGTTTACAAAGACTGAGCTGAAGAACGTGTTAAAGAGATTGGCTTTAATGGTTTCGTCAATACAGTCTTCATTGTTTGGTACTTTTAGGGGTGGGATGGATCTCGAGTCTTTAAGTTTGTTGTTTACAAAATTATAGAAGGCATGGGTGGATTTTGTGCGTAGAAGGTTTTCTTCTTGCTTGATGTGATAATTGGTGCATTCAGTCTTTATTTGTTGGCATACGTTTTTGTAGCAGTTTTTGAAGTTAGCTACACAGTTAGTTTTGTTTTTTCGCCAAAGAGATTTTTTTCTGGATTGTAATTTTCTTATTGTTATTGGTAGTTTATTTTTTCTAGTTTTGTGGGATATTACTGGTACATAAAGTTTACTGATTCTTTTGAGTTCGCTTAAGAAAATGTTGTAATGGTCATCAGCAATATTACAGCCAGAGAATAGAATTTGCCAATCAAGATATGAGAGTTCATTGTCTATGAGATCATAGTTGGCTTTTTTAAAGTTATAACTGGGAATCCCATCATTATGATGATTTTTGAGAGGGCGTAAGTTGAGACAAAAGTCAATCATGCTGTGGTCACTGTTGGAGAATGGTTCTTTTATTTGTAGTCCATAAAATTGAATTTAAACTGTTGCAGAAGATGAGATCAAGGCAGTTGTTGAGTCTAGTGTTGTTAGTTGCTAGTTGATCAAGTCCCAGATTAGTTACAGTACTGTACAGGGTTGCATGTATAGGTTCAGTTGTACATTCATTTAGGGTTCAATTAAAAAGTGGTAAGTTAAGGTCACCAAGAAAGATTATTGGGTGTGGGCAGGAGGTTGCCCAGGTTAGTAGTGAAGTTAACTTGTTCGCATGTTCAATGTCATAATCTGGGGCTCTGTAACAAAGTAAGAATTGAAATGTGGTATTTAAGGACAGGTATGATTCTATTAAATGTAAACACTTAATAGAATCATACATCTGGGAAGGAATTTGGAGATCTTCTAGTCCACTGTAAGCCGCCTTGTGTGTCCAGAGAAGGGTGGCATATAAATCAAATAATAATAATAATAATAATAATAATAATAATAATAATAATAATAATCCTTACTTCGAGGTTGGGTCTCTCTTAGATAAGCTTCTTGTCCCTCTGGTGCCCTAGAGAATTACTCAATCTTCTCATGTACTGGAAGAGAGTTATCATGTCCCCTCAATACACTACAAGCCTTCAGTAGGCTAGGCATACCTAGGTCTCTCAACCATTTGTCATACAATTTAGCCTCCAGATTCTTTATCATTTTTGTTGCTCTTCTCTGCACACTTTCCAGGACCTCGGGATCTTTTTTGTTTCATGGTGACCAGAACTGCATGCACTTTTCTAAGTCTGGTCTCACCACTGCAGTGTAAAGTAGAACTATTATGTCAGCTGCCACCTTACATTTGCTTGTGCCTCGCTACCATGTGATGACAGTCTGCCATCAGGAGCCCAGATCGCAAAGAAGTGAATCGCATGTCTTACCTGACTTCCAGCTTCTGCCATGCCCGGTGAGGGAGGGAGAAGAGACGGCAAGGGGAGCCCCATCTCGCTCCATGCATCTCACTTCTCCACTGCTCCACCCCTCCCCACCTGCCACACCCCCTTGCCGTCCAAGATCAGCAAGCCAGATTCAGGGAGCTGAACGCAATGCCGCCGCCTAGGAGGAGAAGAACGTCAAAAATGGACTCTCTCGCAGTGCCCCCTCTCTCTCTTCTTTTCCTGAGTGGCAGCGGTGCGTCTGGCTCATCGAATCTGGCCTGCAGGCAGCAGCGGGTCTGACCCGATTCTCACCGGCAATGCTGCAGACAAGCACTGGCCATGCCGATCCCCGCTTCATGGCTGCGCAGACAGCCCTCACCGGCGACTGCTCGGAGCTCTGGCACCAATCCCACTCCCCCAGTCCCAGGTCGACAGGGCTAGGGCTGGCAAGAGTCTTTTTGCGGCCGCTACTAAAAGAAGAGGCGCGCAAGCTAGTGTTTGCGGAAGTGGTCTCCACGAGTCCATTCTGCGTGGATGGCAAGTGCATACGGGGCAGGTTCCCCTCCTTCACCCCCCACCTCACCTCCTCACCTCATGCTGTTTGCATGGGAAGCAACGAAAAAGCTGCCATGATTGCTGGAGACAGCGGCCTGAGCAGCACTGGCAAAGGAGCTAGTCAGAGCTCCAAAGCCAAGGTTTAGGGATAAGACCCCCAATAATAAGGCCAAGGCCATATTTCGGGGGTCAAAAGAAAATAAGACCCTGTCTTATTTTTGGGAAAACATGGTAGAAAAATTATTATGAAGAATAGATTCAGTTCCATCATTCAGTATTTCAAAGAGCCCTGGTGGCGCAGCAGACTAAAGCACTGTTATTAACATCAGCTGCCTGCAATTACTGCAAGTTCGAATCTCACCAGGCTCAAGGTTGACTCAGCCTTCCACCCATCCTTTCTAAGGTAGGTAAAATGAGGATCCGGATTGTGGGGGCAATAAGCTGACTTTGTATAAATATACAAAAGTATGAAGGCTATTGCTTAGCGCATTGTAAGCCGCACTGAGTCTCCAGAGAAGGGCAGCATATAAATCAAATTAAAATAATAATAATAATAATAATAATAATAATAATAATAATAATAATAATAATAATAATTTCTATGTGTTTTAGAACCTGAGAGTGAACCTTGTTCCCATGTCCGTCTCACCTTGGATGGTAGGATGATTAGTCAAGAGGAGCAGTGCCCACATCAGAATAGCCAAGGTTGTTTCTGTTCCAGCAAAAAAAATGTCAAATATATACTGAGCTAGATTCTCTTCATTGTAGGTGGAGTTGGGGTCGTTCCTGCTCTGAAGTTCAAAATGAAAAATGACAATAAATTCAATGCAACTTTTATGTGGTTATTTTTGTCTCTATTTATACAGCATGTCAATTTTTAAAACTTTCAATTTCCAAACATGAGGGCTGCTCAAAAGTTGTGACATGCCTTGGGGATTGTAAAGATGTTTTGTTTACTTTAATATAATTTAGATGTGCTTGGTAAGCAATTACATTAATACCATAACTTTTTAACATGGTATGAGAGCAGCTCTGTAGCGAACAAAAAAGCTCTACAGAGAATCATTAAAACTGCCTAGAATACCATCAGGCTCCAACTACCAGCCCTGGATGACATCTTCGAGTCTCGCTGTTTGAGAAAGTTGCATAACATTCTCAGAGACTCTTCCCATCCTGCTTACAATCTTTTTGGACTGTTGCCTTCTGGCAGAAGATACAGAACAACTAAAACTCGGACCACACGTTTTCTGAATAGTTTTTATCCCAGAGCTATAATTGCACTCAACAATGAACTAAGGGGCCGCCATCAGTGAGCTGTTGGACAATATTACTTGGTCTGTTATGTGGATGTTTGGGTGGTTTGGGGGTGGGGAATTGGGGTGGGTGGGAGTGTGTTTGAGGATTGTTATGTGTGTTGGACCTGGTCCAAGTTCCTGTTATGTGAATTTCATTGTATGGGTATACTGTGTATACACGTACAATGACAATAAATTTATTATTATTATTATACCTTTTTAACATTCTGTGTATTTCATTTGTTGTAAGTCATGAGAATAAATATATATACAGGTGATTCTATAGGAAAATCAATGCATGAGAGTAATAATTAAACAGTAGATTCACACTGAGTAAGACACTGTCTTAAAATAGCCCAGATTGAAGGGAGTTTTGTTTTTGGATGAACTTACTTATTTATTTATTTTAAATACAAATAACGCAAACAATACAAACATATACATATATATCTAAATACAAAAAAAGAAAAAGAAATACAAATAATACAGTGCACTCCCACCCCCAACACTATCAATGCTATATTTTGCAATTTATGCATCAATTGTTCTTTTTTTTGCATAAGACCAGAATCTTATCAAAATGTCTCTCAGCAATCTTCTTCCCAATCTTTTTGGACTGAGTCTATGTGTTGCATCAATATCGTATCTTGTAAAGGGAACATCTAGGAGGATCGAGGTAGCCCAGTCCAATACTTCTTGGATCAACTTTGCTTCATTTTCTTCACTTTTCTCCAGATATCCATGTATCTGTAAATTTGAATGGCGCTGACAGTCCTGTATCTCAATCAAATCTGTTCTGTCCCCGTCTCACACACGCACCCCCACAGACAGGCAACAGCTAAAGAACTCAGCTGACAACAGTTTTATCTGGTATCAGAATTGGCAGCAACCCAGTGGCTGGCTGCCAGGTATTCTTTACTCATGAGGGGGGAGTTTCTCCCTTCGTCCGGGAACAAAGCCAATACACAATAATCAACAAAGTCCAGTAAATACAAAGAAGGTCGTCCGATATCCGTTTTTTGCTTGTCACAGAGCTGAACCGGCCACCACACCCTCTTTTATACCCTGTGGGGTGTGGTCCAGTGACTCAGCCTAATCCCTGGCACGCCTCTTCCTCTGCTGTGCACGCTTATCTCTGCGATGCTGCCTAGGGTCCAGCCAAGACTCATCTTCCTCATTACTGTCCACCTGTGGCTGCGTGGACGTGCTTGGCCCCGGGCCTATCTCTTGACCTTCGGAGGACACCGAAGGCATTGCCAGAGAGGAGGATCCTGGAGAGGGAGGCCTTGCCAACTCCTCTCCTTCACTCTCGGAGTCCTCTCCTGCCGATAACACAGGCTCAGGTAACGGAGCCACAACAAAATCCTTTTTCACCTGAAGCATCATAGTCATCTGTCTTTTTAATGCTCTATCATGTTCTCCCATCCGGGTCCTCACTTCTGTAATATTTTGTGTCATATCCTGACTTTGTTTCACCAAATCTGTTATTCTTACATTCATACTATCCATTTTATCATTTATTTGCTTTAAATCCTACTTTATATTTTTCTTCATTTCTCTTAACTCTTGTAAGAGTTAAGAACATCAAATTTATCTGATTGAGTCAGTGATTTCTTGGGTGATTTTTTTTCCTTGCTTCCATTTCTAAAGCTTTTTCCACTCGAATCAGGTGTAACTCTGAAGGTCTAAGGCCTACTTTGGGTCTTTGCCAAACAGTTTCCACACTTTTGCTGCGTTTTGACATTTGACCATCCAAAAAGAGCTCTTGAACTTTTAAGAGTTTTACAGTCTATAGTCCATAAATGTCACTTCCTCCTTTGTCTCATCCTTGTCAGCTTATCTCCATAAAAGCAACTAAATAAAACTAAATGAGCAACAGTTAGCTTTATTATACACATCTTATCAAGGCTCTGTCTTAAAAATATTTAGTTCTTCCACTTTCTTCAGGCCTGAACACTTTGACTGAAAAAAGGGAGTTATGGGCCTTCCCGCTATACATTCATAAATCAGCTATTATCTTCTCAGCTATACTCCTTTAAACTTTTTACAAGTTCTTTCTCAGTCTTCAGTCATAGGGCCCTTCCTTTCCTGTTGCCTTCGAAGGCCTCTCAAGACTCTTAATCAAACGTCCAAGCTCACAGCTTCTCTGAAAAATGTCCAATTTCAAGTCAAATACAGTCCAATCTTCAGGAGAAAAGCAAGGGAAATAACTCACATTTCATAAACTCTTAAATTCCATAATCTTTAGATGTATTTTTTAAACCCATTCTCTGTGATGACCCAGAGGAGACAGAAATTCAGCCTCCATCATCCATTATGGCTAGCTCTGCCCCTCCCCCTCTTTAGATTAACTTCTATGTGTTTGTTTTTATTTTATGATTGGTTACTTTAATAAATATTCAGTACAGCAACTAATGTGTACCTTCTAGAGTGAATCACAAAAGTTTACAAGCAGGATTCTTATTTAAACTTATGTCCAAAGTGATGTCTCTAACTACAAGCTTTTGTGGTTGCTATTCCACTCTATGACAATTTATGGAATACATAGAATAATAGATAATTATGAGACATCATCAACCTTTTACTGAACTAGTGCAACTTCACAAAGAATTGGGGGACAACTGACACAATACCGGCCACCTGCCTATTGATGGAGAAGCAAGTTGAGAAACAAACCACCATGGATATGGGAGTCACTGAGCTAGAAAAAGCATTTGATCAAGTACCACATGATCTATTTCTTTCCCATCCACAAATGGTCCAACCTCTCATCATTGCTCTTCATAGATACACCCACATTACACCAATTCTCCGCGAGCTGCACTGGCTCCCTATTGGTCTCCGGGTACAATTCAAGGTGTTGGTTATTACCTTTAAAGCCCTACATGGCTCAGGGCCAGACTATCTTCGAGACCGCCTTCTACCACATAGCTCCCAGCGACCGGTAAGATCCCAGAGTTGGTCTCCTCTGGGTCCCATCAGCTAAACAATGCCGGCTGGCGGGCCCGCGGGGGAGGGCCTTCTCTGTGGCTGCCCCGGCTCTCTGGAACCAGTTACTTCCTGAGGTCCAGACCATCCCCACCATATTGGCCTTCCGGAAAGTGGTGAAGACCTGGCTTTTCCAGCAGGCCTGGGGCCATTGATCTCGCTGTTGCAATCTTGTGAGATCCGGCCATGAATGGTGTGAATGGGCTTTTAATGTTTTTAAAATGTTTTCATAATGTTTTTAATAATTTTCTATGTTCATTGTTGCATTACTTTTGTTGTAAGCCGCCCAGAGTTCCTTGGGAGTTGGGCGGCATAGAAATGTGATAAATTAAATTAAATTAAATTCAGTATGGACAAGGGACCCAGAAGTCTATAATTACAACCTCCATGGATGCTGTTACATACTGATGATACAGACTGAAACAAGAAGCACCCTTGAGCCATTAATGCAAAGGTGGAAAATATGTTTAATGGGGTTGGGAGGGGGGGGGGGGGGGGGGGGACGACAATATTGCAAAGAATGTATATCTTGAAAATAGTGACCAAACCCAATGGTACACTCAAGATTGGAGTGATATCAAATTGTAAATAAGGTGATCCAGTTCAAATCAATAAAAGTTGCTTTTAAAAAACAATTCTGGGTCTTTCTCTGAAAATATGAGGGGAAAGGACCTTCGTTCCTTGTTTCAAACTGTTTTACATTTTTACTTATTGTCAAGGCTGTGAAAGTATCGGTCCAATCATTTCATGGAAAGTATTCATTGAAGTATGAATTAATCAAAATGCCCCGTTAATTCTTCTCCTTCTTAGTGGAACCTCTTTAGAAAAAGGGGAAACAAGTGATAGGCAAACACGAGAGGATGAGAAACAGAAACATTTTTAACTCTCCTCTCCCCTCCAGAAAGAATTTCCCATATCTAACAAAAGTATGGTACTGAAGAGGTAGAATGTAGCTCTTATTTAGAAGCATCCAGAATTTAGGTTAGGCTAAATTCAGAATGAGAGCTGAATGAAAAAAAAAAAAAAAACCTCCAAGGAAAAACAAAACTGGTAATGCCTCTTGTTTACATACAGCAAGGAATATAATAATTCCTTGCCCATATACTAGTGGTGGGTTCCTCCCAGTTCGGTCCGGTTCGGCCGAGCCGGTAGCGGTGACGATATGACGTCACCGAACCGGTTCTCCTCCCCCACCCTCCCACCCTCCCACCCACGTTATTCTTACCTTTTATTTGGTCCCACCCCCATCTATTGCTGCCTCCTGAGTCCCAGCTGATGACTAGAGGGAAAAAAACTGTTTAAACTCTTGCCGCGGGGCTTCAAAGGGCCGTCCTACAGCTGATCAGTGTTAAAAGCAAACAAATGAGTCGGGTCGTAAGTGCGAGGACCTTCCAGAAATGACTCTGACCAGCTAGCCACGCCCACCTAGTCACATGACCTCCAAGCCACACCCACAAAATAAGCCACGCCCACAGAACCGGTAGTAAAAAAATTTAGAACCCACCCCTGCCATATACAGTATTGTAGTAGAATAAATCCATACCATCTCCATCTGAAGCAGATAGTGATCAATGAAATCTTGTGGCTCATGCAGAGAGTGAAATTCCTTGTGTTTCTCTATTTCCTGCTTTGCAAAGGAAATGATAAGGTCTCTACAAGCCAGAGCCTCTTTGTGAGGGCCTGGGATGTGTTTCATTAATTGTGGGAACTCAGAAAACATCTAAAAGAAAAAGAAGAGGTAATGTTATTGTCAGATGTAAATGCCTTATTCCCTAATGTGTAAATAATGTATATATGGGATATCAGGGGTTAACTTATTCTTTGACTCTTAATGTATTCATAATTCACCACTCCCACTCTTGGCTCCACCCTTTGTATATATAAGGAGCCACCTTCACCATTTTCTTTGCTTCTATCTGTGAATATTCAGTGAATATAGAATGCCTATTATAATTAAAGAGAAATATATTTAAACCTCTAACTCTCATTATTATTATTGAGTCTGATCCTAAAAATATTGCAACAAACTGGTAGCAGAGGATGGTTAATTGACTCAATAAATACCTAAAAATGTCTAAGAAAGATAGGCCCAACACCAGGGCCTACAGCAAAGAAATAGAAACTGAACAAGAAATAATCAACGAATCCACAAACGCGATTTCGAGAGAATCCGAAGAATACACCACTGAAGAAGAAGAATTAATAAATGAAAATGATGGCCAGGAGGAAATCGAAATAGAAAATAACGAACTCAGGTCAGAGATACTGAAGTTATTAAAAAGCCAGAAGAATGATGAAAGCCTCATCGCGAACCTCCAAGAAATGCTGAAGAACAGCGGAGCAGCGAGAGAGAAAAACATCGCTAAAGAGAAACCCAAAGACCAAAAAACTGTGAGTGATATGACTACAGAGAAAGTCGTTATGAAAAAGAAAAAATGTGATCCCGCGCGAAATTTTGAATGGCAGCCATCTTGGTTTCAACAAGCCTCCAAAGTGAGCGAAGCAGAGCCAATCAAAATGCTCAGTTCAAAATTTCTGGCGCGAAAAACGTTATCAAACAACGAAAGTGAAAAGGAGGATTCAAACTCTTCGGAAGAGCCAGAATCAGAAAATGAAGACGACTTAACGAAATCCCAAGTAAAGTCAGCAATGAAGACACTTTTTGCTGCATTTGGGCCAAAATTAAAAATTTCCAAAGCGCCAACGAAGAAGCAAGCGAACAAGCTGATACTTCAAGACCTGCACGCTCCCATCCTGACTTCGAGAACGACGACGCCCGAGCCCAGAGAGCCATGTCGATTCCGCCCTACACCGCAGACCGAAGCAAGTGCCAACGCACCCAAAAGAAAGAGAAGAACAGTCGCCGCCATCAGAACTCCTAAGACCGAGCCAGAGACCGACTCGTCTGAAGAGGAGCGGAGCGAGCGAGCTACAATGGAGAGAACCTTCCACGACGACGTCAAAGAAGAAATGAACAACGCGCATGTGCGAAACTACGTAGACGGTCCGGAAAGACTTGAACTGGCCAGAGAACCGCGCAGACTCGTTGCGAGCATCCCCATGCCGTTTTGCAATTTCCTACCCTTGCGAGACCACGGACTACCTCAGGTTGTAAGTAATGGACAAAATAATGTGGGTAACTTACCCAGTGACTTCCCAAAACTTAGGGTTGATGGCATTAATTTACAAGAATGGTATCAACAGCTCCAGGTTGTCTTTATGAAAGAAAATTTACTATTTTTTATCACTAGTCCCCCAAGAAGACCTTGGACTTTAAAAATAGATTGTTTACACCATAAGGCATTTTTCTTAATAATATCTAGCGTGTCTCCTGCAATGTATCATAGCATCAAACCAAATCTAACTGTTTCAGAAATAATTCAATGCATGTTTAATTTGTTTCACAGCGATAGTGTAGCTACCACCACAAGAATGTCTAAGGACTTCTTTTCTTCCAGAGTAAAACCAGGGGTTTCCATAAGTGAGCATTTAATATCTTTAAACAAAATAAGAGCTGAGCTGCATTTGAGGGGGGAAGTGATTTCAGATCAAACAATGAAAAGTGTTATTATCAACTCACTTGATTCATCATGGGATAGTTTTATGTCACACTTAGACACCATCAATCTAGGATATTTATCAATAGAAAGTCTGTCTAACAAATTGATAGCAGAAGACAATTCAAGAAAAAATCGTTATAGCAATCACACAGAACACAAATCTTTTAGGAAGGTAGCTTTCCAAGAAAAATATAATGAAACTTTTAAATGCCACAATTGTGGGTCCAGGGAACACAATAGAAGAGATTGTCCCAAAATTTCAAAGGAAAGACATAGGTCAGAATATAGGAATAAATATAATTATAGACAGTCTTCCACAGATAGACATAAATATAGAAGCCCACCAAATTACAGAGAAAGTAGAGGGGGCAGAGAAAATTCAAAAGAGAGAAAATCTGGTTCACTGAATGGACTAAATAAACAAGACAGCACTAAAACGCAACAAAATGAGAACAATAATTGGCTTATTGATTCTGGGGCAACTAATCACACCACTAATAACAAAAATATATTGTCTTCATTTACAGAAGACAAGTTTGTAATAAAGGTAGCTAATCAAGAAAAAGTTCAAGTATTAGGCAGAGGGAATGTGACCTTGCCTGGTCTAGGAAAAATAGAGGGGGTATTGTTAATACCAGAAATACCTCATAACATACTAAGTGCCATAAAACTAAGCAGAGATTCTGACATCAATATAGTTTTCTCAAAGGGAAAAGCAACTTTAGAGAAGAATAAAACAAATGTAGGCACTGTGATGATTAAAGGAGGCCTACCCTATCTGATAACAAAAGAAAAATGGTTACATAACATTGATTCAAATATGGAAGATTGTATTGAAGCAGATGATGAAAATATTAGTAACAGTGACAATGATGAATGTAAAATATCTCATGATCACACAGATACACACAATGAGAAGAAACCAAAAATAGGTAAACCAATTCATGACGAGTGTGCTCATATCTTACATAGGAAGTTAGGACATGCAAGTTTTCCTGTAGTACAAAAAATGACTGAACACGCAGAAGGTGTCAAAATAAAAAATTGTGAAAATTATTTGGAATGCTCAGTATGTAAATCTACTAAATTAAAAACTAGTCCCAGGCCAAAAAAATCCACCAGATCAACTAACAAAATTTTTGACTTAGTACACATGGACTTAGTTGGCCCATTAACTCCATCAATCACTTATAGAAAACGTTACTTCCTAACAATAGTAGACGATTACAGTCGCTATGGTTTTGTTTACACATTAAAACACAAGGATGAAACCTTTCAAAAATTTAAGGAATTTTACAAACGCATAGAAACACAACATAATATCAGAATAAAACAAATTATGACAGATAGGGGATGTGAATTCATGTCTAAAGAATTCTCCCAATGGTTAAAGGATAGAGGAATGCTACATTACACGTCTAGTCCATTTTCTGCGTTCCAGAACGGGATTGTAGAGAGAAAGAATTCCACATTACAAACCATGATTAGGTGCACATTAGAGGATGCTGGTTTAGGCAAACAATTTTGGTCAGAAGCCCTACATTATTCAAATTACACTCAAAATAGAACCTGGTCCAGTATTGTGAATAAGACACCATATGAGGTGATGTATAATAGGAAACCAAAATTAGCACACATGCACATATTTGGGGTCACTGCAGACGTACACATACCCAAACAGTTGAGAAGAAAGGGAGAAAACGTATCCAGAAGACTAAGATTTATGGGATATAAAACTGGCACCAAAGGGTACAGATTCATTGATAATAATAATAAATTTATAGTTTCCAGAACAGCTGTGTTCCATGAACAGGCCAACTGGTCTAAATTACATCTTAATGAAATATTTCCAAATAAATGCAAAGATACCAAATCTTGTGAGGAAGGGACAATAGAAAATCAAAATGTCAACAAAAATAAAAACAAAACCAAAACATGGACAAATAGTCAACACAAAATAAAGACAGACACATTAACAAAAAAGGAAGCAAGATATTTGCATGACTACCATAGCAAACCAGAAAGAGCTATTAGGAACAACAGAAATCAAATACCAAGTAAATACAGAGATTACATAATGCATATGGATGGTGAACAAATAACACCTAATACATATGAGGAAGTATTAAAACTCCCTCGTGAAGAAAAAGAAAAATGGGAACTAGCTATGAAAAAAGAGATGGAAAGTTTGCAAGGATTAAATGTATTCACACCTGCGATTGCACCTAAAGATAAAACAATTATTGGTACCAGGTGGATTTATAAAATTAAGAACCTAGAAGAAGGCAATACCTTATACAAAGCTAGATTGGTTGCACAAGGTTATGCACAAAAATATCCGGAGGACTATACTGACACATACTCCCCCACAGTAAGAACAGAGAGTGTTAAAACAGCTCTAGTAGTAGCATCCGCACTCAATCTTGATGTATTTCAATATGACATACAGACTGCGTACCTACACGCAAAACTAGATAAGGAAATATATGTAAGAGCACCTCACAGTCAATACACTAATAAAAATGAAATTTGGCTATTGAACAAGAGTTTATACGGATTAAAGCAATCTGGCAAAAGATGGTACGATTGCTTGGTAAAAGTACTTAAGACCATGGATTTCAACGCTACCACTGCTGATAACTGTTTCTTTGTCAAAAAGAGTGATGATCAAATTGAGTTTGTATTGATTTATGTAGATGATATTTTATATATAGGAAAACACAAAGAAAGAAGAGAAATCTTTGTAAACAAGTTAAATGAACATTTCTCGTTGAAATCTCTAGGTAAAGTAAACAAATACCTTGGTGTACAAATTAACAAAACTAGAAGGGGATTCAAACTTACTCAGAAAGATAAGATTATTGAACTTCTAAACAAATGCAATTTAAACAATGCCAAACCCTGTGACACTCCTATGCAAACTGATTTCCTTAGAAATACTGATGAATCTTCCCCTGAATTCAAGGATAATACATTTTATAGATCAGTCATAGGTTCACTTCTTTATATATCTAATTGGACCAGGCCAGATATTGCATTACCACTCAATTTATTATCAAGGCACGTTAGCAAACCAACAATGTATCACTGGGAAGCTGTCAAAAGAATTTTAAGATATCTGAAAAGTACATTAGATTTTTGCCTAGTACTAGAACCTAGTGATAATAAAGAACCAAGACTTACATGTTACGCAGATGCGGATTGGGCTGGAGATATATCATGCAGAAAAAGTACTTCTGGTTATATTTTTCTGTTAAATGACTGTCCAGTTTACTGGTACACTGGTAAACAAGAACTGGTAGCCACTTCAACCACAGAAGCGGAATATGTTTGTTTATCCAAAGCTGCAAATAACCTTGTATGGTTTAATGATTTAATTTCAGATGTTTGGAAAAAACCTGCTTTGCCTTTTGTTATGCATGAAGACAATAAAGCGGCCATTGAAATATCTAGATCCGATGCCATTGGACAAAGATCCAGGCATATAGATATAAAATTTAAACATGTGAGACAATTGTCTCAAGATGGATTTATCAAAGCAGTGCATTGTGATACCTCTGAACAATTAGCTGACATATTGACGAAGCCTTTACCTTCTAAACAGCACAAATACTTAACTTCCAAATTGTATGTCTTATATTGTCCTGAATCTGAATGTAATTGGTGTTGTATAGCGAACCGGCATTTAGAGGGGGATTTGTCAGATGTAAATGCCTTATTCCCTAATGTGTAAATAATGTATATATGGGATATCAGGGGTTAACTTATTCTTTGACTCTTAATGTATTCATAATTCACCACTCCCACTCTTGGCTCCACCCTTTGTATATATAAGGAGCCACCTTCACCATTTTCTTTGCTTCTATCTGTGAATATTCAGTGAATATAGAATGCCTATTATAATTAAAGAGAAATATATTTAAACCTCTAACTCTCATTATTATTATTGAGTCTGATCCTAAAAATATTGCAACAGTTATCTATTTCTACCACAGTTACAGAAGACTCTCAACAACTCACGGTAATAGTCAGCACTTAATAACCAAAGAAAACCAGTATGAAAAACACATTAAAAGATGAAAAACATACATTGTGTCAGACCTCAATGTTCCTCCAGAAAAGCTGTTTCAAAATTCTTGTAGAAAGCAAATAATATTGGAGGCAGATAACTCATTATACAGTTAAAGATGAATAATTAGAAAGTCAAGAAATTTAAAAGCTGGCCTAGCCTAAATGGTTTTTAATTGGGATTTTAAATTTTATGGATTTGGGGGTTTTAAATTGGGAAGCTAATGATTTAATTCTTTTTTAATTATCTTAACTTTTGTATTTGTATGTTTTTTAATTTTGGCTGTTCACCGCCCTGAGTCCCCTCTGGGAGAAGGGGGGTATACAAATTAATTAAATAAATAAATAAATAAATAAATAAATAAATAAATACATACATACATACATACATACATACATACATACATACATACATAAATAAATGTGCATGGTACACTGTTACCTTCCCACTGAAGTAGTACCTGTTTATCTACTTGCATTTGCAAGGCGCTGCTAGGTGGGTAGGAACCGGTAAAGGAATGAGTGCTCACCCCGTCACACAGTACTTGGGTCTTAACATTTTAACAAATGTTGTACTGGATATACAGGGCATATAAATACTTGCTCCAGGCATGATTGAACAGATAGGAGGTTCAATCTCTTGGCCAATTAAATAAAAGTACAATTGGTCAAAAACAGTGTAGTTGTTAATGCACCAGCCTAGAAACTAAGATACTCTGAGTTCTAGTCCCAATTCAAGCACTAAGCCAACGGGATGACCCTGGACTAGTCACTCTTTCTCAGCCCTAGGAAGTGAGCAATGGCAAACCACTTCCAAAATCTTCACATGGAAACTGCAAAGACTTGTCCAGGCTCTCACCTGGAGTTATGACTGGGTCAAGGACAGGCCAGAGGTGGATTCTAAATTTTTTTACTACCGGTTCTGTGGGTGTGGCTTATTTTGTGGGTGTGGCTTGGAGGTCATGTGACTAGGTGGGCGTGGCTAGCTGGTCAGAGTCATTTCTGGAAGGTCCTCGCACTTACGACCAGTCCTCGCACTTACGACCCGACTCATTTGTTTGCTTTTAACACTGATCAGCTGTAGGATGGCCCTTTGAAGCCCTGCGGCAAGAGTTTAAACAGTTTTTTTCCCTCTAGTCATCAGCTGGGACTCAGGAGGCAGCAATAGATTGGGGGTGGGACCAAATAAAAGGTAAGAATAACGTGGGTGGGAGGGTGGGGGGGGGAGAACCGGTTCGGTGATGTCATATTGTCACCGCTACCGGCTCGGCCAAACCGGAACGAACCGGGAGGAACCCACCACTGGGACAGGCACACCTACTGGGGATATATATATATATTAGATGATTCCCAAGGCTTCCTCCATGCCTTAAATTCTATGATTCCATGAAAATACTGGTGGAAAACATAAGTTGATTTGGGAAGCTTTGCCTCTTTAACAGAAATGATTACTTACCACATGGAAAACATTACCAGAAAAATGCAAAACAATTTCAAGGGATTGAATTAACTTCTGGAAGTTGTCATCTTCTGCATCAAACTGACGTCCAAAACTCAAATGACATATGATGTTAGAAACTACATTTAGCACTGAATTTGAAGGGTCAAATGGCTGTCCTGCAAATGAAGATGTTTTATGATGAATTTTTAAAGAAAGGGGCTTCTATGGGGATGATGAAGAAAATTGGGACGTGTCAATTTTTTTTTTAAATTTAAAAAATAAAATACATCTGTTTTATTTGAAATACTCAAAAATGGAAAATATTTTTTCAGACCTTAAGCCATTGTCATTATCCCAAATTACATACCTTTCGTTTGTCTAAAGATTTCCACCAGTGTCTGAGCTGCATCTTCTATTCGATGATCGAAGTTTTTCTTCCCCAGGCCCATCTTCCGCAGAGAAGTGATGCCAAAGTGTCTCTGCTGTTTCCAGGTGAGGCCATTGGAAAGAATAATTCCTGTGGGCATCATCAGATAGAGATAAATGATTCCTGATAATGTTAAAAAAAACAGGTCTAGTTGTTGCCAAATATCTCTTGGATTTTTGGCAAGAATACCAAATAAATGAAAAAAAAAAACTTTATAAGAAAAGCTTAGCTAGCATGTGGCATCTGGGAATGCCCAGATCTTTACCTGACAGATTTAACTATGTAGTATAAAAAAGCAAACAATTTTTTTATTAAAAAAAAAAAACAGCTTCAAATTAAGGAACTGGAGAATAATATATTTCAAAGATCAGTTCAAGGTCCAAAGATACAAAATAACTGAGCAAACAAAGTAACAGTTTTACTATGTATAAACCAGGGGTCAGCAACCTGTGGCTCTGGAGCCACATGTGGCTCTTTCACCCCTCAGATGCATCACAACTGCCAATGTGTGACACCCGCCGGCACACGATTTATTTGAGCTTTTCAACCCCAACCATGAATAAATGGATAAATCCAAGAAAAGAAAAGTTTCCGAAGAAAACAGAACGTTAATTCTGTCTATCTGTCTGTCTGTCTGTCTGTCTATCTATCTATCTATCTATCTATCTATCTATCTATCTATCTATCATCTATCACTATCTCTATTTTCTATCAATCTCTCTATCTTCTATCTATCTATCTATCTATCTATCTATCTATCTATCTATCTATCTATCTATCACTATCTCTATCTTCTATCAATCTCTGTCTATTTTCTATCTATCTATCTATCTATCTATCATCTATCACTATCTCTATCTTCTATCAATCTCTGTCTATTTTCTATCTATCTATATCTATCTATCTATCATCTATCACTATCTCTATATTCTATCAATCTCTCTGCCTATCTTCTATCTATCTATCTATCTATCTATCTATCTATCTATCATCTATCACTATTTTCTATCAATCTCTCTGTCTATCTTCTATCTATCTATCTATCTATCTATCTATCTATCTATCTATCTATCATCTATCACTATTTTCTATCAATCTCTCTGTCTGTCTGTCTATCTATCTATCTATCATCTATCTATCTATCTATCTATCTATCTATCTATCTATCTATCTATCATCTATCACTATCTCTATATTCTATCAATCTCTCTGTCTATCTTCTATCTATCCATCCATCCATCCATCCATCCACCCACTTATCTACCTATCCATCTATCTGTCTATATCTAACTAGCTAGCTAGTTTTCTCAGTGTACATTTCTCAGTATAAACTAAGAATTCGGTTTGGCATGAGAATTTTTATATTGGATGTATTCATGAAACAAAATATTAGGGCAGTGGTCCTGAACCTTTTTGGCTCCTGGGACCAGTTTTGTGGAAGATAATTTTCCCATGGACCAGGAAGGAGGGATCCTTTCACCTAGATCCCATGCATGTGTAGATAAAGCTTCACTTGCTCGCCCAATGCTTGTGCAGGCCAGTTCCCCACAGACTGTGAAAAGGTACTGGTTCAAGGACTGAGAGGTTGGGACCCCTGCCATAGGGGAAGAGGGACTGCTTAAAATGTAGAAGGATACTACAAATGCACAGAAAAATATGCAAAAGCGTGTACGCACATGCACACACACACACATATTTCAGCATTTGCAGGGGTGAAATGCTCCCGGTTCAGACCGGATCACCCGATCTGGTAGCAATGGCGGCGGGTGATTTGGAGAAACAGTAGCAAAAATCGCTGTCCCCCCCATGCCCAGCTGAGTCACGCGATCATCAGAGACTGTTTTTTTTACTTTTAAAAGCATTTCTTCTACAACCTCTACTACCATCAATAGCCTCCCACCGACCAGTACGCTCCCACAGAGAGGGGCTCCTCCAGGTGCCGTCGGCCAAACAATGTCGGCTGTCAGCCCCTAGGGGGAGAGCCTTCTCTGTGGGGGCACCGACGATCTGGAATGAGCTCCCCCCAGAGATACGGAGGATCCCGGATCTGCGCACCTTCCGCCGCGAGCTGAAGAGTGCAAATTTTAAATTTTAATGTGTTTTAAAATATGGGTATTTTAAATTATGGGTATTAATTCAGCCAAATTTATTTAATTCATTTTATTCGATTTTAAATTTTTATATGTATGTGTTTTATTTTGTGGCTGTTCACCGCCCTGAGTCCTTCGGGAGTAGGGTGATATAGAAATTCAATAAAATAAAATAAATAAATAAATAAATAAATTTGGCCGAAAAAATGCTTTTAAAAGTTTTTTTTAAAAAAGCCTCTGATGATCGCGTAGTTCAGCTGGGATCATCAGAGGCTTTTCAAAGCATTTTTTTCTGCAACCCCTTCGGCCGAAGAGGCTGTAGAAAAAAAAATGCCTATAAAAGCCTCTGGGGACTTGCCTGAACGTCAGAGACTTCTAAAAGCATTTTTTTCTGAAACCTCTTAAGGTTGTAGAAAAAATGCTTTTAAAAGTAAAAAAAAAAGTTGGCCACACCCACCCAGTCACATTACCCCCACCCACCAAGCCACACCCACAGAAGCCACACCCACAGAACCAGTAAGCCACACCCACAGAACCAGTAGTAACAAATTTTGGATTTTACCCCTGAGCATTTGGTATTGAAAACAAAAATATCATTAAGTTGATTACAAAAATTCAAGTTATTAACTGACAAACTGAAAAAATAAAAGCCAAATGACTACGCTAATAAAAGACTACAAAAGGCAGATCACAACTAACTTTAAAAAAAGAGGGTGAATTCATAAAATTATGCAAATTTTGCTTTTGTATGGAAATCCTTTGGAATAGCCTTGCACTGATTTGCTCACTTCCTACTCACTTTAATATCTATCTGCTCACTTCCTACTCGCTTTCATATCTATCAAGTGTTTAGTGAAAAAGAAGTAATGTCTAAATCAATGTATAAATGGAATGGACCAGATAGAAAGCAATGGAAATGTACAATAATTTGGTGTAAAGTAGAGTAAGCAGTATTTCTTTTGCCTATAAATCATTTTGTTACTATGCCTTCCCCCATGCTATTAATAACATTAACACGAATTATGACATTATGATGGTAATTTATGTACAATTTCTTACTACTTGCACTTACCTTTTCCAGAAGGCGACAAGAAAGGATCGTCTGGTCGGTCAGAAAATGCATCTGAGAAGCCGGTCATTCCTTCTTTCACAGCTTTGAATCCAGATAGCACTATTACAAGGTGAGATCCAGCCCACATGGTGTATATATTTCCATATTGCTTTACATGCTGCCAAATGAATCAATATTGAGCAAGGTTATAATCAAATGAAACAGATTATTTGAAAGTAATATGCCACCTACACTCTTTCCTACATTCTTAGATCGAAGACATCTGGAAGTTGAGTCTTGGCAAATGTGCTTCTTTTCTTGTTGGTTCAAAATATTTTATTGCTTATCCTAGTAGCTTCTAGTAGCGTCTGAGAAAGTTGGTTAGGGGACCCCATATATGTCCACCAGGGAGGTTCCATTTCTCACCTAATCTGAACCGGCACATTAAACCAGTAGGCGGAGAGTCTTTGGGATGTAAATATTCCAACTCCTAAATCCTTTATCGTAGGTGGTCCTTAAGTGTGGCTTCTCTGGAGAAGCTGTGAAGGGATCTGAATCTTCCTGAGACTGAGGAAAGAACAGCAATACTGAACCATTCGTTCATTATCTGATGGGCTGCAACCTGAATTAAGATTGGCCACAAGAAGGTTTATGTCTTGTATATTAGCTAGTAAGTCAACTGACATCCGCATCATATCTATTCTATACCATGACATGTGTCTGTTTGAGTAAAATGTGTATTGCTTTCCCTTCGGATATCTTCTTCTCCAAGCATCTTGAATGCTTAATTCCTCCACCATTGTAAAGAAAGGTTTTTGGAAGAGTTTTTCTAGGCTTCTTATTTGTCTTTGTAGTTTTGTAGTCCAGATCAGCTTCTATTATTGCATTGAAATCACCTATCATACAAATATTTTCATACTCAAATTCTATTATTTTCCTGTGTAGTTTTCCATAAAAGTCTTCTTGATTGTTATTTGGGGCATATATTGCCACTAAAAGTATTTGTTTATAGTTCATTGTTACTTCCACTATTAAAATCCTCCCTTCTTCATCGGCAAAGAGTCTGGTAACATCCATTCAGACTACAGGGTGCCTTACAACACTGCTGCTTTTCTCATAACTAATATAGTAAAGTGTTCTCTGGCTTCTCTCAGACCAAGAGAAAAATAGGAATTTTTTCTCTCTCTAGCTGAAACAGTTCTCTAAGAATTCACATATCTCACTCGGAAGACAGTCATGAACCATATTCCCAGCTCATAAACTGTTTTTTCCCCTATTTTTGTTCTCCTCTCTATTACTGTTGCTTGGAGATACCACTAATTTAAGTAAAAACCTATTGGTGCTTCCTTCCCAAAATAGAATCTTGATGTTTCTGTATTATTTTAGCATCCCAAAATAATTCTACAGGATTCAGCCACTTAAAAAGAATCTGCTACAACTTCTTGAATGTTATGGTTCTTTAACCTACATCTTGAGTTGGATGTTTCTTTTACCTCTGATTTTTTATTTGATGAAATAGTGTAATCCAGTAGAAGAATATATATTATTTAGAAAATGTTGTTTCAACTTGATTTAGCATGCAATTATGATGGTGCCTATTGGAGGAATATTGCTACAGTATGATAATTCCACCAACAGTATTACCCAACTCAATAATGCTACCCTTTACAGTGCTCCATCAAAGTTATTTCTGAACACTAAAATTTAGGTAGGATAACGTGCCAGAAGTGGAGAGGTAGTTCAGTTAAACTTTTTAAGCACCAATAGCTAGGTCTTACTATACCGTGTGTATATCACTTTTGTGCACATGAAGCAACTGAACAAAAATGATGATCCAAGATGGCGCCGCCAAAGGCTGCCTCGGTGAAATGCTCTCTAATGGTTTCTTTGTTTTTAATTATTCGCTGCGACTCACTAGAGATTTCTTATTGATGAGACCATCTGCTAAA